GTCTCCCCATCCGATTGCTCCAGCCAGCTGCTCTCCTCGGTTAGAGCCCCTTTTTTTCCTGGGCAAATCTGGGCGTGGGGACGGCGATCCTGGGGTTCCTCTCAGGGCTTGTGTGGGACTGGGCGAACATCGAGGCGGAGCAGACCTCGGTGTCGGGCAAAGGAAGGGAAAGAAGGCGAGCGGGAGCCGAGCGGTTGGTTAACAAGGAAAGGTCTCCCTCTTGGGTCCCTCTCTCTCCCCCCCTTCATTTCCTTGTGGTCCGTTTTGGCTACGGGAATAAGAAAGTGGCTGTCAGTCTGAGGAGAAGGCCCCTGGAGAGAGTTCTCCCCCCCACCCCAATAACCAGTGCCCAATTGGTCCTCCCCTCCCCCTTCTTCCCTCCCTCCTCAACCTGGAACGGATTAATGGTGGGATATTCTTGCGGAGGGGTTGAGGGCAGTCGCGTGCCGATGTCTTACCGGGAAACATCTGCCGGTGCCTTCGAGCAAAGAAGCCAGCTGCGCTGGGCCGCGGGGATTACACCGGGAGATCCCTCCAGGCCATACAGGACCAGGCGGATCCGCCCGGAGAGGCAACCTAACAATAGTTCCTGCTGCCGCCTACCCCCACCCATCCACTGAATGTGGGATTGACAGAGGGAGTCGAAGAGTCGGCACCCCAAAGGCATGATCCAGGCATTAGGGCCCATTCTCACGTGCGCGCCCAGGGCTCTTACTTCCTCTACCACCCCTTTCGGGAGGGGGGGGAGGTTCAATCGCTTGAACGTGTGAACTGCGCTCATTGGCAAGAACGGTGCCGGGACGAGCTGACACGGACACGCTAGCTCGATCTAGGAGGCCTTTCTCACGTTCGATTGTACCACGTTGCCCGGCAGGTGGAGGAGGACCTGATTTTGAACGCTATTGGGTGCCTGACATTTCCCGCGTGCAAAAGATCTGCTACATGAGAGAGAGAGAGAGAGAGAGAGAGAGAGAGAGAGAGATGCAGATTAGTTTTTCTGCCAAATGGGTTTGAGTGGTTTAGGAAAGGAATTGGGACAAACATATTTGAAAATAAGGTTACACCTGATGGTGATCCTTGAGTTTTGCAGTTCAACAGCCACGTAAACCCTGGCGCCTGGATCTTCTGTCACCTCATTTTTGAGTAGAGGGCACTAGAATTGAATAAATTCTTCCTATTCCAGGAATCTTTTCTACAGGGGTTTACTCTTGAGTAGTTGTGCCAAGACCTGAGCTATGCTGTATAGGTTAGGGAACAAATTGATTTCATGCAAACATTAAACTTTAGTCGTTTAGGTGTCTGGCTGTTGAACCAGAGAGTTGGACTCCCTATTGTGCTTCCTAGGAATACAGCCAGCCTGTATGGCCTTGGGCAGGCTGCAGAGCCCCCCCAAAAAGGGAATGGTAAACCACTTCTGAGTATTCTCTATCTGGAAAACCCTGAAAAGGGTCAGTGTAAGTCGGAATTAATTTAATAGCACATTATTATTATTATGAGTAGGAATAAATAAATAGGCAAATAGATATGAAATTATGAATATATGAAAATATACATATGGATATAGATGTTAGTTCTGTTGTCTTCTAAATAAAGCACTTAAGGCCATGTCCCTCTCTGTAGCCACTCAGCCCAGGGGAAGTCAGATGTGATGGCTACAGAAGTTGATTGGAACTGTATCATTCCCAACACCCCATTCTTCCAGAGTTGGTTGTCCTCTACGGGGGTCTAAAACCAAAAATAAAAATTAAAAAATAAAATCCTAATTAGGCACTTAGAGCTAGCGCACCAACCCTGTGAAGAAGCTGCCACCACTTCCACACAAACACTTGATGAACCCAATACCTGATTGAGGCAAGATGTGGTTTTAGTGCCACACACTCTCTAGTCAATCATTCTGACACCTGCTTGAAAGGATTCTTGTACCTTATGAAAGGGAAGGGGAGGCAAATAAAAGGTCAAAAGAACAAAAGTTACAAACAATTACAAAAAAGGTTTTTCAAAATACAGGAGCAGCTACCAAGACAGACTTAAAGCATTCAATAGGAAGACACCAGGAAATAAATAAAGCTTATTACCCTGTCTAATACTCACACCTTGGTAGAGATAGCTGTGGAACATGTAGAGATGGATCTAGTTTCCTTTTTAGAGGCAAGTTAGGTCCCTCCTAAGCATCAGAGAACAGCAGGTGAGCAAAGAATTTTTTTGCTCAGAGATACGTTAGGCAGACTAAGTAGGTTTCCTAATTCATTTACTACACTTGAACTTGGCCAAAAGGCCAAAAAGCAATTCATTTATATAAGTAAATGGGCCATTACACACCTGTTGCTAACCACATATTGATCTGCTTTCATGTTCTGTCAGGAGAAAGGACATCGTTCTGACCTGCCTCTGTTCCCACAGTCAAAGTCTGCATAACTCTCAAGGAAGGAAGCAGACTGGCTCCTTTCAAGCCAGGGGTTACAGTCACAGTGTTAATTCTTTTGTGTGTGGGGGGTGCTTTGATATGCCTTCTGATAAGCACAGAAACATCCATTCCTCTCACAGACCTTCCTATGAAGTGTTCAGGAACAGGAGGTAAGTTGAGGGTGTGAATTGTCCTTTTACACAGTAACCTCTGCCTACTCAGTCAGGTGCCCGGGCATTTAGAACAGAAGCACTGAAGGGTGGAGTGACTGAATTCCATATTGCATATTCCCCAGTTCCTCAGTTTCTTCACAGGTGACATGTAATTTGAAATTCCCATGCTTTTGATTTCTGTCCTACATAGGCATACAAATAGTGTCAGTAAGAAGCGAGCCATTTTAGCTTGCCTTGCATCAAGATGCCTCTGGTCTGTTTAAGGAAAAATACAAAAAGTCTTTTCACACTTGATAATAAGTGGCTTTGAAACTATCTGAAGCTCTGTATGTGTCCATTTTATGAAAAAAGAAAGCAAAAAGGAGACAATTTGCAGTTAAAATTTTGGCCAAAGTGGGTATTATATTTGTATTGTAGTAGATACATTAAAGAAGGAAAAATGCTACCTTACAGATGTGCCATGTGTTACTCTGGAAATTTGAACATGTAACAAAATGTAAATAACATATCTGCAAAAGGCTCTTATCCTGACCTAAACATATCCAATTAACTTGTTTAGGATTGGACTGAAAAATTTAAATAGTTAAAATGGGTGTCCTATTTTAGTGTTTGCTGCTGGCAGATGTGGTCAGTGAAGGAAGACAATACTGGAACACTATTTTTCCTCTACTGATAGAAAACAAAGCTAACGAGAGTTTTGCAGCAGGAAAAGAGAACAGGATTACAGGGGCAAAGAGTCTGCCAGTCGTTGTTGAGAATGATGAGATGTCATGGGTTGTGTTAACTAGTGGCAAGGAAGGGCCTGATTCTGCACCCATTCAGATCAGGTTGTGGTCTGAGAACAGAATGCCTGATAGACCTATATATAGTTGTATAGTGGGCAAACTTACTCTTTGAAGTTATTTTCAGGATCCCAGCACACTATTTTAGCACTTTGAGATTGCAAAAAATTCCAGCAGAGGAAAGCTGAGATAGAAAGGCTGTGATCCTAACCATATATTTCAGGAGCAAGAAACCTCCTAGAACTAGGGAGCGCTCATTCTCACATGGGCATTTCCCTCACTCCCTTGATGTTGATCCCACCAGTGGCAAACTACTTTGTATCCCCATCTGTTATGCAGAAAAAAGATGCAGAGTTGGAAGTCGTTATTATGTGCCTTTAGAGCTGAGCAGGATAGGGTTGCCATAAGTCACGACAGCAACAGATATGACTAGCACACGACAGCAACAGCAGGACTTTGAAGGTAAGCAAGTGAGATATTTAAGGAGTGGTTTTACCCATTTTAAAGGGACATGATAGCGCTGTGGGCTAAACCGCAGACGCCTGTGCTGCAGGGTCGGAAGACCAGCAGTTGTAAGATTGAATCTACGCGATGGAGTGACCTCCCGTCGCTTGTTCCAGCTCCCGCCAACCTAGCGGTTCAAAAGCATGCAAATGCAAGTAGATCAATAGGGACCACCTCGGTGGGAAGCGTTCTGTGTCTAAGTCGCACTGGCCATGTGACCACGGAAGATTGTCTTCGGACAAAAACGCTGGCTCTATGGCTTGGAAACGGGGATGAGCACTGGCCCCTAGAGTCAAACACGACTGGACAAAAATTGTCAAGGGGAACCTTTACCTTTTACCTTTACCCATTTTACATCCCCTGTAGAATCTTCTCATCATCTTACAAAAAACTAGCAAATAAAAGAATAAAACAAAAATAGTTCCTTCTTTCTGGTGGTACACTGAAAAGAAAGATAAAGAATACTTATCGCATTACTCCTGATAATAATGCTATTGCTACAAAGGATTATCAGAGACAGCTCCCTGATTACACTGGACATGATCTGTAGTTTAACCAATGCCCTAATCACATTTAATTGAAAATAAATCTATTATAGCATCATTCAGAACTATTGTTATAAGAAGTGTGCCTGGTTCTGAGAAAAAGTCTTAGAAAAAGTCACAGTGTCTCATTTCTGCTGGTCTCTTCAGTAGTCCTCTCCAGCTCTGGATATATTCTTTCTTTTTAACTGTTTCCTCCATACCTTTGATTCGTTTTGTGTTCTAACTCTGCAGAAAGGGATGACGAAAGGGGAGGTTGGGAGAGGAGACAGGTCCCCTTCTTTTGGAGCGGGCTCCTCCCCCTTCCTCTGTGAACATCTGCCTGGAGAAGAACAGATGTGGGCACCTGCGGTGACAGGCTGCATATGTTCCATACTATTCACAGGCATTCAGACGTGGCTACAATGGTAAGCCTTTGTGCACGCAAAGTCACTAAATATATTAATCTGTGTTCCCTAGAGCATGGTTCTGTTTAATTTTTTTTCCAACTGGCAATAACATCTGATCTAATCCTCCAATTGGCTCCCCATTGTGCTCCCTCCCACCGGCCCACCCCGGAAAAAAAAATTAAGTGGAGTTATTCAAGCTTCCACCTGTTGCCGATCAGATTGAAGTAGGTGGTGTGAGCCTCAGAGAACGTCAGGGAGCCGTGTGAATGTGTGGGCAATAAAGAGAGAGAGATTTCAATGATGAAAACTGAGCAGTTTAACAGGCTAGCATTATCTATGACCTGCTGCTGAAGAAAGCCAAAGACGTCGTCACTGAGACCCTTCCATGCAAAACTCCTGCAAGGCCAGAAGGACAATGGTGAGGCAACAAAAACACTGCCCTCGCCACACCTTTTCTGCCTTTTTCAAATGGTCTAGAAAGTTTCCATCTGAAGCATTGTTTGTTAAACACTAGTGGTTATTAGAAACTGCGGTCAATAGGCCAAGCAGCCAAAAGGTAACATAAATCTCAGATGTAAGACTTTGATTTTGGGGACAATTTTGTTGCATGACTCTCCCTCATTTTGCCTGTTTTGATCCCTCCCCCCCTCCTCCCATCCTTTAGTTCCATTGTAGCCAGCACAATGCCTATGGATATCAGGCGGTGAATGAAGACAGAAGCAGTTTAAACAAACCAGCCTCTTTCTCTCCTCTCTGCCCATTGTAATATGAATGGGCCTTCTGCATTCTGCTGCTAGGAAACCATCTTTTTAAAGCCCAGCTTCAAGAAAGGGACATAGAGAAAAGAGCTGCAATAAAAAAAGAGAGAGAGAAAGAAGCAAAAATGGTATGTTTTTTGTAGCTGTAGTTGAAAAGAGGAGGGATGTTGAAACTATTATCCACAAACAATTTCTAAAATTACAGAACACTTAATGCATGCACAAGTTTAAGAATATCACCCCATGTCCTCTGTCTTTTGCCTTAATAAATAACAAACCAGTAACCATTGTCATTTAAAATATTAGCTTCTTTATAGAGGAAAAATAGAAAAATATCTGTGTAATTTGTTATTTAGATATGACTACAGGCGATTTCTTGTTTTTAGCAACTAACAATTCCATACATTGTTCTCTTTAGGTGGGGTAGGAAATGGCAGACAGCTAGTTTCTTTGGGAGGTAATATTAAAGCGTTGCACTAGATGAGGGAAAAAAGGCATATTGTGTTTATTTTTGTGGGAGAGAAAACCACTGGGAGAGGCTGGAGAAGTATAGAATATTTATTATATGGCGAGATAGATATATAGGCAAAGGAAAAGTTTCAAGTAGAATCATAGCAGGGCCTATAAGCACAGACAAACATCAGAGAAACAGCTTGTGATAATCTGGAGCTTTGACTTGGCTTCTGATAAACAAGTGCAGTTACCACTGAAGAGTTTTAACCTCCAGACTTTTAATACTCGCAAGTGCGTGCGTTTTGCGTGCCACTGTGCACTCCACAACAGGCACAAAAAAGCGCGCTCTCTTTATGGATCTTTATCGTCCCCTCTCCCCTTTATTTGCTCGGTCTTTATTCTGCACGATGAGAACGATGCTCCTGCAGCTGGAGACAGGATCACGTGACCCACCCCGAGGCACTAGTACCAGAGAGAAGGGGAAATTTGCGCACGCGCACTGCTATCTTCCCGTCCCTTGCCTCTGTCGCTGTCGTTACAAAGAGTTTCGAGGAGCTTTTCAGATAAACTTGACTTCCGGTTCCCACTCGTTTCCTCAGTAGTCCCGGGGAGAGTTGGAGAAGTACAGAAAGAAGTCGATGTAAACATCCACATTGAGCGAGAAGATCCCACTGAAGACAGGAGGAGTTACTTCACAGAAAGCATATGTGAATTTTCCAAAGAAGTAATTGTGTTAGTCTGTCTTAGCATCTTGGAAAAATAAAGGGGGAGGGGAGAGCAAAGTATTGCAACAGTTTTCAAAATAGCAGATTTTGTCGAGGTGGCTTTTTATCGACGAAAGCTAACACTAAAATAAATCTGTTAGTTGTGAAAGTACTGCAGTGTTTTGCCTCCACTCCCCTCAATTTTTGCCAGCAGGATATGTGAAAGGCTTTGGCCATTCATTACAAGAAGCGTACACCGTGCTCAGTCAGGTGAAGGTGCAAGGCTGTCTTGCTTCTGCATGTGTCACAAAACCAAAACATTGTGGTTTTGAAATTAACAGATTTATTTTAGGGTGAATTTTCATGGATTACCATTCAGGCCACTTCCCCAGGCATATGTGTGAAAAAATAGATTGCAATTCATAACAAGAGCCCTTGAAGAGCTGCAGAGGGTCTCAAGCCGGACCCTAAGACCAAGCTAGAGTTCCTGGCCAGTAAAGTTATCCCACCAGTGGTGATTTTCAGAAATTCACATAACTGCCCCCACATTTTGCAACCACCAATAGCTTCCTCAAACAGCCAAAGGGAGACTAGGGACTTTTTTGAAATGTTAATTTCCAAATGTTAATTTCCAAAGAACTGTTGTGGCTGATGCTTGGCATCAGCCCTATGCCAAGTAACTACAGTATAGAGGAGGGTGTTATTAGGATATCATATACCCAAGAGCAGCCACAAAGAAAGCCCTCTCTTGTGTTCCCATCAAATGCCAGCGATAGCTATTGGACGGAGACTACTTTTGCATTTTGCCATCTCCACAGTTGCCAGCCTGTGAGAAGCCTGCCAAGTCAGGCATGACTGTGCCTGCTGCACCTTCTGTCCCATGTTTCCCAGCAGTGAAGAAAACACAGGTACTATTCTGGCTCAGGACCATTGATGGCTCTGGAGTCCATAGATTTAACAACCTTTTAGATCCATCCATATTGGTCTGCATCCTGTGGCAGTGAATCCCAAAATTTAACTATGCAGCGTGCGAAGAACGGCCTCCTTTTAATCTGTCCTGAATCTCCCATCAATTGGCTTCAGTGGATGATGATCCAGGGGAAGCATTAGTGTGAGAAACGGTGCAGAGCTTCTTCCTGACAACTGCCTCTGCACCAGGCATTGTTTTATATACCTCCTTCATGTGGCCCTTTGCTTACCTTTTTTTCCCTCAAGGAAACAAGACTCAGAAATTAGCAGCCATTTTTTCATATAGAACAGTTATTCCAGTTCCATAATTTTTGGCAGCAATTTCTTTTGGTATGTTTCCCAGCTCTACAGCATTTTCTTTCTTTCTTTCTTTCTTTCTTTCTTTCTTTCTTTCTTTCTTTCTTTCTTTCTTTCTTTCGGGTTTGGTGATTCATTTGCACTGTGGATGTATGACCTTTTGTTTATTTTTAAAATTCATTTTCTAGTGAGATCCCCTTAGTGTATATGCAAAGTTGGGACGTTTTGCCCTTTTATGCAGCACTTTTACGCTTTGCATATTGCATTTTATCATTTTAATGTCCATACTCCCTGTTTCGAAACATCCTTTCGGAATCACATGAGGTTGAGGTGAAAATCTTCTTCATTCTTATTTAGCTTGTTCGTTCGTTTTCTAAGTGAAACGCCCCGTTTCCTTCAAAGTATTATCACGAAAGGGCGCCTATAAACTTTCCTTCCTTTGTTGTTTGAGGGTTTGCATTCCATTCGTCGTCATTTTCGCCCCGCACATGGAGTCTAGGAAAGGCAATCAGGAACCGGAAGTCTTATTAAAGACACACATAGACTGCGATTCGTGGTGTCGCTTTACTAAAGGAAGCTGAGGCGGCTGTTCCGTGGGGTTAGTGTCGGTGCTCGGGCATGAGAGGGTAGTGGGGGGGGGTATTGTAATGCTTGCAAGGTTTCGCTTCTTTCCTCGAGGGGAATAAGCCCTTGGCCTCAGCCGCCTGGCCCGTTACTTCCGGTATTCTATATGGGGCCGGGAGGAGGAAGAGCGGGAAACCAGCCTCGAAACTGGCAGATTGAGACGTAATTGAGGGGATAAATTTTGTCAGCAACTAGGAAGGCAGGAGAATTAGAATACCAAAACTTTCCCCGCACCTGCCTCATGCAGATAGATGCAGTCCTCAATAAAAGCAAAGCGTGCTGCTTATATACGGCCCCATAGCGCTACAAGCACTCTCAGGGCGGTTTACAAGTTAATTATGCAGGCTGCACATTGCCCCTGCCCAAACGAGCTAGGTATTCATTTTACCGACCTCGGAAGGATAGAAGGCTGAGGCAACCTTGAGCCACTACCTGGGATTGAACCCCAGGTCGTGAGCACAGTTTTGGCTGCAGTGCAGCGGTTTAACCACTGTGCCTGCTTAAGAAAAGGCAAAGTCAGTTTTTCTTGCCATTCTCTCCCTCAAGTGGCCCTGTCTGGCTTTGTCATGCAGTGTTTTTGTACACCATTATTGCCCAGTGCAAGGTGTATCTTTTCAGTTCAGCCTGCCAAAATAGCAAACGCATAAACTATGATTCTCATGAAGTGTTATGCTGCCTGTTGGGATTTTGCTTCATATGGGAAGTATGCACAAGCTCTGGCCACTATATGGTTGTTGTGGGTTTTTCGGACTCTTTTGCCATGTTCTGAAGGTTGTTCCTAACGTTTCGCCAGTCTCTGTGACCGGCATCTTCAGAGGACAGCACTCTGTGCTCTGGTCCCTGCCTGTCCTCTGAAGATGCCGGCCACAGAGACTGATGAAACGTTAGGAAGAACAACCTTCAGAACACGGCCAAAGAGCCTGGAAAACCCACAACAACCATTAGATCCTGGCCGTGAAAGCCTTCGCAAATACACTCTGTCCATTATAACTTTTTTTTCCTATGATGGATAGAGCCTTTGAACTAGAAACGAATTAGGAACATAAGAATGGGTTGCAGCTCACATGCTGCTTGATGTTCCACCTGTGGCTGGCTAGACAATGGCATTGCAGGAAACCCCACATTATTTGGTATCTTCTTATTCTCCCAACAACCAATGAAAATAAATGTTAATAATAGAGAGAGGACGATAAATAAGGAAGAATAAGAATAATACCGATGATAAGATTAACTTTACAGATATCTAAACTTCAATCCTGGGAAGCAGTGTAGTTTTTTTATTTGGATAGAGCAATTCCTGCATTTCAATCCTGCCTGGGTGACCAATAGTGATGGCTTAAGTATTATGTCACAGGTATATTACAGATATTAAGATTTGTAATTAAGATGGCCGTCAGGTGCAATGTTTCAAAAGGCTGCCGCATCAGAACGAAGCATGGGTTCGCCTGGGATCCCAGACAAGTTACTCGTTTCTGTTGGAATCAACTGATGACTGGGTGGTGCCTGAGATAGCTATGGGACATGGGAATGTTGCTGCTACTAACAAGAGAACAACCCAAACAGTTTCACCACCACCACCTCCACTGCATCAACCTAACAAGACTAAATCATCA